TCTTCACGCAGAAGTGGCAAAGATAGCTGTGGGTTTGCCACCAGCATGTTGTTTCTCTTTCTCTGCCATCTTCTTGGCTGGTGGGCAGGTTGATGGATGCATTGTACCGTTCTGCCCAATCTGGCATTTTTTTTCCCAGCTGCAGGTGTACAATTTTCATCTTATATCTGTACCATGCATAATCTCAGACATCTAATTATAACTCACCATTGACACCTCAACAAACACGATTCACTCAATTAAAACCGTACAGCGCATCTGTTGTTTCCCAGTCTACCTCTCAGCTGGGAAGTATTCGCCACGCTCCAGTGAGTAATGGCCTTATGGCAGGATCTGCTTTGTCCCATCCCAGATAAGCTGCCACTCCCCAAATATGATACAAGTACAGCACTCGGTTTTCTTTTTCCAAGTATAAGGAAACTTTATTTAAAGCAATGCATTGCACAAACAAGTTGGTCTTTGGTGACTGCTCTGAGCTCCCTTTTTCAAGGTGGGCAAGAGACCAACTCTACCTGCCCCTAACTGAGGTTTGATTAACTGTTGTTTTGGTTTTGCTGCCTGATTTCATATTTTGTTCACAATCTAATCTGTTTTTTAATTCCTGATCAAATACTGATTTACTTTTTTATGTTTCGTAAGTACATTGTCTTTTAATGCCAATCCTGTGTTTGACTGTAGGGAGCAGGTTCTGTTTGATGAAGTGTTTTTGCATCCATAAATGTTGGAAATACAGTGTGTTTGCTACCATGATGCTCTGTGAGTCTCTCCAACAGTTATGCAGAATAGCTTCAAACTGTGAAGCTGTGATTCCTGTTATCTAAACTTGTGCTCTTCACGTAGAGTGAAGGCATCTCACATTCCCCTGCCTCTCCGCATCAACCCCTTCTATATCTCTATTAATCTCCCCATTTAAGATATGCAGGGCCTTCTGAGCTGTAGAGGCTTGGCCCCAGTGAAATCTCTCAGGTGATTTTTACAATGTAGTCCTAAGCGGGCACTCCATTTCCAAAGCCCAAGACTCACCATGATCTGATAAGCCACTTGCTGGATAATGCATTTGATACCTACCTGAAAACACCACCACAGAGCATGTATACAAGCTCAGTAGTGCATCTAGTAGTGTGTACCAGAGACTGTCTTTCAGGAACAGTCTGAGGATTCATCATAAACAGCATGGATTTGCTGTTGTAAAATGCAGAACACCTGGGTCTCTACCTGCTAAAAGGCTCTCGGTACAAGTAAACAACTGGAATGAAATCCCAGCAGATGAGGAGCACATAGCGATGTGCCATACCTCTGCTCAGATGCAAATCCTGCTCCATCCCTGCAGAGCAGCTGCTCTGCAGTGCGTGAGTCCTTGGATTCGAATGTAAGCAAGAAACAGCAACTAAAACCCTTACAGGGAAAGTTAATAGGTTCACCAAATTTTGCACGGGGCTACTTTATAAAATCAAAGTATGCAATGATTTCTTAAATTGTAATTAAAAATTATACCACCAAATATACTGTAGTGATGAGCCCTGATCCCTCAGAGAGCCACAGCAGCTCCCAAGAGAGGGGTGCAGATTAGCAAACACATTTCACATGACGGCTTTTAATATAATTATTTGCCTAACTGGATTAAAGAAGCGCACCAACGTGCCTCTAAATCTTATTATTGTTTATTACTCTGGATATCAGAGAAAACAGTAATTACATTGAGCAGAGATTCTTGGGGCTGGATTCAGGTGGGGCTGAGCGGATGCGGCTGTGCCTCAGTCCCCACCAGCCCGCAGAATCCTCAGCCCTCCTGCTCGGGGCAGCGCTCCTTTGTGCACCGTGCAGGGAAAGCCTGGAAAAATGGCCTTGCAGGACCACTGAAATGGGCCACTGAGGAGAGAGAGGGAGCTTCAGGAGCCCACAGCTGGGGAACTCGGACCATTTCAGGGTGCATCTGCAAAACCTAGTCCTGAGAAGGACCTGAAGCAAGCGTCAGGCTCTGAGCTTTCCACCGCAAATGCAAGTCCGGACAGATTCAAGGCATGTACAGGTTAAATCAGCATTTAAACAAGGGTGCCTGCCATGCTGGGTGCTCCTGAGGACCTCCTTGAGATGACAGACCTCAGCACTGCTGTAACTGCAGTTCCAGGGGCTGCTGGTAACAAGAGGTTCCCAGTGTGCTTGTCACTGTGGGAACAACGTAAGCGCTGCACAGCCCTTCATTTCTGTCTCAAGCAAAACAAGTTAAAAAATAGAGTGAGAACTCTGTCTCCTTTGCTTCATACAGCTCTGTGCAGCAGCCATCTGCAGTCACTAACATTGAAGACAACATTAATAAGCTAAACTGCAGTGTCAACAAATGAGGGTAAAGCATGATGTGCGAGAAGGAACTGACCCCAGGCCTGTTGTGTTAACGAGAGGCTTCCCAGTTGCTCGACTGGGCTTTGGACCACTCTGGATTACAGCTCTGTCTGTATTTCGTGCACAAGGTTGTAAACATTCTGGGCCATCTCAATGCTGATTAGCCTTTACAAACTGACAAATTAATCGCTTGAAGTAACATAATTCCATAGAAGAAAAATCTCTAAAAATCAGGATTTTGTTGTTAATTAAGGCTGCTTTTTGCTGTGTTGTTTCAGTGCTTTCTTGGTGTCCTACTCACTGTTCTCTTCAAAAGACCCCTGAAACAGAAGCTGAAAAGCTTATACAATTTGGTTGGTTTGTTTGGAAGGGTATTCTGCCTTTTCAAAATCACCAATTATTCCAGTAACTTGCTATATTGAGCTTGAAGGAAAAACAATTTCCTAAAATTCAGCAAAAGCAAAACACCCTTAAAGAAGTCATTCAAATCTTTAAATCAAGATAAGAAAGGCAGATACACTTCATCACGGAGTGAATGCAAGTAACACCCACTTTAAAAGGCCTTTCCTTGATTCAGTTTCTCTGTAATCATCTTCTAATATCCAGTTCTTCATTATTAACAACAGAACAGCTTGAAATTTTAAGGAAATTTGTGAGAAGGTATTTAAAATGTTTTTGCAATGCTTTTCCCACTGTGTGCATATGAACCTGTGTATTTTTTAACCAGATTATCTTACTGAATGCTGATGAGCAAAATGATATTCACAGGTTCACAGTAGGAGTACATTTACAAACTAGAGAAACCATCCTCTCTTGCTTCCCTCTCCCCCTCATCTTTTTGCATTGTCTCGCAGCACTTAACAGTTCTGGCCACGTGCGGTGGTGGTCAGATAGATGCCCGTGCTGACCATGGCCAAAACTGCCCCTGGATTGTGCTGCTTCTCCAGCTGATCTCAGTAGAAGTCAGTTCCTCCTGCCATCCCAGCTTCTGGCTGAGCAGGCCGGCAGAAACTGCTTCAGGCACAATGTCTGCTTTCAGAACTTTTTCCCTTACGCTTATCTATTATCTTGAATATTTTCAGTTCAGACTGGGGGAGGAAGAAACTAGAAACCATTAGGTTGATTATAGCTTCTAACTCCCTCATCTGATTGAAAGGTGAATGTCAAAGGAAATTGTTTCTTCCCAAAAGACTCCTTCAAAAGAGAGCACTTGCCACTCTGCTCCGTTTGACGGGTCTTTCTTTGGCTGGTCACGCAACGCTCAGACACGGCTCAATGTCAACAGCCCCTTCCACCCACTATCTCTTAACAGACACCTCCAGAAGTGCTCCTCAAGACGGTGTCAAAGTCTCTGGCTGTCTCCAGAGATCAAAGCCGGTGGCAGCATTGCCACGCATCAAAATCAGTTCCTCAAGGAATGAGCAGAAAGCATCTCAGCACTGACAAGTCCACGATGATGTCCACTCCTCTGGCTGGGAATGCAGCTGCCTTGCAGTAGGGTCAGCAGATTGGGGTTACATGAGACAAGGACAGGAGCACAATTTGTTGTCACTAAAGTGGTGGTATGCCTGAATGTCCCCCTGTTTGGATGAGTTTGCACCACACATTCTGCTTCCAGTCTGTCCATCCTTCGGGACTGCATCAGCAGCTCCACCAAACAGGCTGTTGCACACTCTGCATCCCAGCTGCACCTCGCAGAAATAACATCGCTCCAGTTTTATTTCCCCTCTCACAATACTGCCTCTCACCTTGCTACACACTGTGCTGCAGGGTCATGAGACACAGGAGGTTTGGGAGTGCATGGTGGTGCTGGGTTCAAACAGCATAAAGCGCAGATTCCTGCCCAATGCGGTTGGCCACGGCAGGCAGGTGAGCAGCCCTGCTGCAAAAGCTGTTGCACCATCCACTCGGCCAGAGGCAAGGAGAACACGGCAGTGAGGGAGGAAACCGTGCAGGGCAGATAGAGCACACCCCACCAAGCACCACAGGCAAGCAAACAAGCTGGTCGTCTTGTACAGATGCCATCACCCTGTACACCACTCGCACCCTTGGGAATGGGAAAAGCCCTTCTCGCTGCTGCTGCCAGCACAGCTCAGCTGGCAAGGAGAGGCTCAGAGCAGCTCCTACCAGCCTGGTTTCCCACCCACAGCTGAAAAAACTGCTCAGGCAAGGCATTTCAGAGAGCCTTAGGCTACCCTTCAGCATGGCCCTAACCCAAGAGGAGTGCAGGAATATTGTTAGTCCTCCACCCCAGATTCTGTGCTGAGGACTGCGCCCTGGGTGGATATGCAGATTTAGTTTTTATCCAATCCAAAGCACTTCCTCAGTGAGATATTTAGGTCTCATCTTCATCCCTGCTTCTCCTTATCCCCCAGATCCCATGTCTGTACTGCCAGCAATATCCAAAAGATAGGAGGGATCCATGTAGTTTGCGTAAGGATATCTTACTGTGCTAGCATCTCCTTGGCCTCTAACTCCTGTGAAAACGTGAAGATATTTTTGGGATGTGATGTCTGCTTCTCCTTCTCCAACAGGAGTGGAGGTGCTGGGGAAGCTACGCATGGAACTTGTGTTGCTATAATTGAGACCTAAAGACAAATGTCAGGAACCAGGACTGATTAAAAATGGAAATTACTTACAGCGTTACCATAAGAAGGAACTGCACTCCCACCAGCTCTTGTTTACAGCACCACACTGGCCATAATGCAATTTGTAGTCGGTCCAATTTTCTTCTTTCTCCAGGAAAACATTTTCTTCAACTCTCCCCTGAAGCTGTCATGGAGCCAGGCATAGAGGAAGGCATTGGTACAAGCAGACATCATTGCAAACCAGTGGCACAGCAGCTGGATGAAGTTGAAGTACTGCTTGTCAATCAAGCTGATGTCTATGTCCTTTATCATGTTGAAGATGTGCAGGGGCAGCCAACAGACTCCAAAGGCTGCCACCACTAAGACTAGCAAGCGAAAAGTCTTCCTCCTCCTTGCTCGGTCCCACTCAGCTTGGCCCTGGGTGACATTGCCTGGGACCACACGGTTTTTCAGCTTGACTGAGATTCTCAGGTAGGACAGAGAAATGACAGCCAAAGGCAGTACGTAGGTGATGATGAGAGTGCTGTAGGCATAAGCTAAGCGATCTCTTTTCATGTGGAACCAAAACTCCTCGCAGATGGAAAAGTCCAGTTCTGGGAACTCTGCATGGTAAGTGTGGACCAAGGCTGGGGCAGCTAAGGTACAGCTCAGCAGCCAAATAGCAGCCAGGATATAAGCACAAATAGGGATTGTGAGCCTCCTGCGGAATGGGTACACCATGGCATAATACCTGTCCACAGCTATGACAGTCAAGGTAAAGACAGACACAAACACAGTGACGGGTTGCATCAGGAAAACAAAGTAGCACATGAAACGCCCATAGACCCATCCTCTGGGCTCAAAGGCATACGCGAGTGTCAGCGGTACACAGGTTGCGCACATGAGCATGTCTGAGAAAGCCAGATTGCCTACCAGAAAGTTGGTGACGTTGTGCATTTTTTTTGTCTTGCAGATAACGTAAATGAGAAGGTAATTCCCAATGACACCAATAAAAACCACCAGCGAGTAACAGGGGATGATGAGTGGCTTGAAGGTCTGAACAAACTGGAGCCCTGAGAATAAACTGCTGGCATTGCTATGAATCGCAGAGAGGAAGCTTTGGGAGGTTAAATTGTCCGAATTCATCATTTCCCTCCTTTTGTCGTTTGCCGTCAGCTGAGTGAAGTAGTTACCACTGCACTACTCCTGCACACAATCAGTGTGGCTAATGAATGAATTACTGGCTGTCCAGAGGTTACCACATGGATAGTAAACAAGCATCCATAAAAGCAAAAGGTGAAGTTGTAATCCTCGAGAGGCAGCTTTCAGCAATTCCTAAGAAAAATCAAATACAACCAATTTCCATTAAAGTCCTCCTGTATTTACCATTAAATCTAGGTTTTGACAGCATGCCACTTAATAAACATTTAATGCAGTGAGTACTTACTGCTGTGGTTTTTTAATCCCATATAATTTTCCTGTGGATGCCAAGAAGTGCCCTAGATGTCTGTCTTCTGCAAATCCAGGAGCGTGTGTGTGCGTGTGTGTGTGTGTCGGAGAGAGAGAGAGAATATATGAGTGAGAAAGAGGGTGATGTGCATTTACAAGCTAAGTGGAGATCAGTGTTTTTAAACAGTCTTCACTACCAGGTCATGACAGATTGGTGTATAAGCTTTTATCCCTATTGGCTGCCCTGGGTATTACGTTGCTCTTTGCGTGTTTCTTACTGATAGTAATTAGTTCTTGAATATCCTTTCAAAAATTCCCTTCTCCTTCCAGTGTATCTATAATTGCCCCTCACAGCTAAAAATCAATTTACATTCATTAACACTAGCCTGCACAGTATCTAATCCAATATTCACTTTGCCACAGTCCTCAGTGTCTGAGAAAAGCTACCTGTGAATTTATTGCTATAATGTGGATGTAAAACAGAATTTTAATAACATGCGGAAGCCAAATAAATGTTTATGCCACTAGAGGGACTCAGCTACGTACCTGGTGAATGAAGTTAGGATTAGAAATGTGCATTTAATATGTAGCACAAAGGATCTTATATGATTTAAATTTATTTTCTAACTGTGATACAACATTTGCACACTCATTGTGAGTATTTTCAGTGGGGTTTACACATCTGGAAAAGTGAACACATGCGGGCATCTCAAAGGAAATATTAGCGTCCAAATAGCTTAGCTATGAGGGTTCACCTGCAGAGAACTACAGAAAATTGTTTCTAATCTTGCAGCTGCCCAAAAACATTTGGGGTGTTTTTTCATTCCCGCAGTAGGTTTGCAGTCATTAACCTTTTCTGTACCAGACAACACAGGCTAAACAGTTTGTAGAATAGTGTATACTTCTGTGTGGTTCAGACATCAGAAAGCAAAAAATCAGGGTAAGTGCTTAGAGTACAAACATTTAAGCAGACGCAGACGTCCCTGTCCAGGTCTTACCTATTGCCCTGATTCTCCCTTCACTCTCCTCCATTTCAGCCACTTTTGGGCTGGTACCTCAGCTGGTGGAAAAAAGTGAAACTCCACTGCATCCATTTATACCAGCTAGGGAAACGAAAAAATAAATGGGACAGCCTAACAACTTCTGAATACTTCAGAGCCGAGAACACTGCTAGGTTTTGCAAGGCACTCAGGAGATTTAGACACAATTTCAGTGGACAGTTTCTGTCCTACTATCTTAGACTAAGAAAACATTAACACATTATTCTGTATGAGGCTATGGGCAGAACCATATTCTTCTTTTGATTTGATGTAAGTTGACATAAACAAAAAGTTTAACTAGATTTCATTTGTGCCGTAACCCTTTCCCTAATCTCAAAAGAGAAGCTAATTTCGTGTAGCCCTTGTTCAGACCAGAGCCATTCTCCCACTACTACTTCTGATGGATGGGCATTTCAAACACGGCAAGTGCTGACCCTGTCCTGCTGCATTTATGGTTAGATTATTTTGTGGACTGGAATATGGCTGTAATTCTAGCCTAAAGGGAGAACAAACATGCAGCCGCATTGCTCAGGAGTGCCATCCTTCATTTCATGAGTGTAGTAACCTACCCATGACCCATACAAAAAATGGGATGTGATATCCCACTGCAGAGTCCAATCTCACCTATCTGAGCTGGATAGGACCCAGAGGAATATAGTACCTATATATCTCTACATGCCCAAATCCAGAATAGGAGAGGGACCTGAGGTTGCAAACAGGGGGTTCCTACTGTTTTCACCACCCAGTGCAACTGTACTATTTGGTTATAAGCAACATGCTGCAAAAGTGATTCCTAAAACCCATAAATGCAATTGTTTCACTTAATGTAGGAGGAAACTATGGTCTGATTTAAATCCTGCTAAAGAAGGATTTCAGTATGCTTTGGATTTGGTCTCTAGTATAAGCCAAAAGACAGACAAAATGAAAGGGGAGCGTAAATCAGTGGCCTTCATATTGCTCACAACCTGCTGGAATTGTAAGGCTTATGCTAGGAAAGAAGCCTCACGGTAATACCAGTGCACACATAACTGAAAATCACTTTTTTAACTACATGATTTTTCTGTTTCATCTCAAAGAGCTGCAGAGTAGATCCAATAAATATTGTATTCCTATGAGAAAGAGGTTTATACTTTGCTATGCAAGAATAAAAATCAAACAAAATACCATTTAAAATAGCCTTCAAGGTCAGCTTAATGCTCAGGTCACAAAAAACTGTAAGTAATCTTAGATGTTCTTTCATTTCAAGCTGTACCAAGCAATCTTCCTGCATTTTCTCTTATCTTTAAATGTATTTACTTCACCTCTGTAACCAGTAACCGGCACACCTTCTGTTTGAAAGCTTCCACTTTATTTCTGTTAGTGATTTTCTGTTTGTTATGGCTTCAGGCAGAAAATATGTTCAGTTCAACTGTACTCTACAGACAAGACCTGGAAATGTAATACTTAATATAGGCTTGAATAGAAAAAGTATTTCAGCATTTTACCCTTTGTCCTTTTAAAACTGCAAATATTAATCTTATTCAGAATTTCCTAGGCTAGATGCTAAAATCCTTCCTGAACTGAGTGTAAGTCTTTCACACAGAGAATTTCCTCATTAAAAGACAAAAGGTCACAGACTCTGCATTACTGTCATATTAGAACTGTTTTGACATTCCAAGTGTATAAGGGTGTCACACATAGGAATGCAGATTAGTGTCTAATTGAAACCCTGGTCTTCCTTGAGTCAACGGAAAATGTTATACCTAGGGTGAAACCAAGATTTCACAGAAACATTTCACAGTGGAGCTTTCACAGTCTCTTATGCTAACCTGTCCCACTCTGTACAGACACTTGGAGTGCAAACATTGTGGGCTTCTACGTGACTTTCAGAAAGTGGTAAACATCTTAAAGCATAAACACTGTTCCTTACGTGCATCTCTAAGCATCCCTGTAGTTCCTAGTTAAATCAGCATGATCTGGGAATGAGATCTGATCCTACCAGCTATCCTTGCAAAGATCAACAGTACTTCTTAAGCTAGTAGGCCCTTCATTCTATTTTTTAGGCTTTACAGACCAAAACATCTCCTTCTGCCATTAAAGTCTCACAGTTTCAGGTGTTAGTTTTCTGTGTTCTTGTTCATTTGATGTCTGTCTATTTCTGTAAAACATAATTTCTTTTGCATCACAGAACTCCTTTAAAAAGTCTTTCACGTTCTTCCAGGAATGTTCTGTGCAGAGCAGAGCAGAGCAGATCAGGTAGTTCCTGCAGAGCCCACAATAAAAATAGATGCTTTGCCTATTTTGAATGAAGTCGAGCTGGGGGTTCCTTTAGCAAATTCTTCTCATGACCAGCCAAGGAACAAGGTTGTTCATCACACAACAATTTCAAGACAGGGCAGCCTGTCCCTCCTGCTCTCATTTAATCATCTAAATGCACGATCTCTGCCCCTGCTGTGGACTGACACATCACAGTCTCCAAGCTCTCATGTTTACAGCTAAGGGTTCTGTTTGATTGGCTTGGGGTTTTTTGGTTGCTGTGGCTGCTTTTCTCAAATTCAAGATACCAAACTTTGATAAACTCCGTATTCAGCCTAAAATAATTCATTTAAGCTGAAGAGGAGATTAACAACTTGAATGAAGAGGAGGCTTGAAATTCAGTCAAAACATGCTTGAGGCTGCATGCTAAATATACTCTACTCTTCCTTGCATGCACAGAATTCTTAGTCTGCCGAGCAAAGCAAGATGAGAAAAGTGAGCTGGTTCCTTAGATGACAAATGTCTTGTGCTAAAATAAAGATAACAGATTAAAAACTCAGGAAAAATACAGGTGGTTTCCTGGGAATGAAGGTACTATTACCACAACAAGTGAAGAGCCAAACGTAGCAGTGAATAAACTCATACTGCCAGGAGCTAGCTATTCCCCACCGCCAGGCTCTGCAAGAACTGGTGCATGGACCTGCTGGGTGAGCAGTAGGGACTTTTGCTATCTTTATGGCATGGGAACACAACCCTATGACTGAAGAAAAGAAAATGGGCCACCTGTCCTTAAGAACAGGAAGGGGAGGGGACATGATGAGAAAGTGCAGGCCCTTTAGTCTGACAGGAGTTTTACAGTAAGTTTTAGACCAGGTTTAAGGACAGAGGAAAGACAGAGGGAGAGAGGAGACAGAGTAGGATACCAAAGGAAGCTTTTGTCAAATTACCCTTCCAACTATGTGTTATTAAACTGTTTTTTCTTAACGTAGGATATGTAGTAGCTCTTCTCAGTTTGGGTTTCTATAACATATGTAATGTGGTAGCATAGAGAAACCATCATCTATACCAAAGGAAATACCCTAAGAACTGTGAGGTAGGCAAAGAACAGCAACATTTATGAAGGAATTGGACCAAAGGATAGCAACTATTCACGCTCCTTGAGAACCTTGCATGGGATTGACCAGCCTTTGTAGGTCTTTTCATTTTATTATGTTAGCACAAAAAGCAGGACCACACTGACTGAATTTTATAGAATCACCAAGTTTGGAACCAGAGATGATATGTGGGATGACTGCACAATTACACAGAGAAACTTTGAAAACCTCAAGGAGAACGGGATGAAGTTTGATACCATTACAGAGGAAAAACTTGTCATAAAAGACAGGATAAAGGCCACCTGATAACAAGCATTTTCACCACGGCTTAAGAAGGATTAAATTCTGTTGCAGCTCT